AGAAGCTATTCATGAGTAATTATGGTTTGGATCTAAGTTTCATTATTAGTGTTCACTTCAATAATATGAAATGTGATATTTCCGTTGAAAATATTTTAAACTAGATATTAAAACCAATAAACAAGATAATTGAAAGATGTGTCTGTAATTCACTGCATTTGTGAAAACATATATATTATCTTAATTATAAACAAGTGTGAACACAAATTTCATATAAAAAATACTAAATCTGATAAATATTTGTGGTGAATCAATTTAAGTATTTTACTTTGCTGATTTAAATGTTTTTTTTTATTATTGTAAAAGTAAAGAAACGTGATACATCTTTCAGTTTTAGTTCTAATCAATTTTTTTAATTCAATTAATACAGAAAAAAAAACTTAACGGTTTTTCTGGATTCAAATATATAATATAAATAATGGGGGCACTCTAAAGATAATATAAATCATTCCGAATAGAATATTAGTTTTGGTGAGCTACACCTATGGCAATGTATTCCAGATCGATATTCAACTGTTTTAATTCAAATAAAAAAAGTTTTCTAATGAATACTAGATTACTAATATCCATTTGTTAAATTAAATTCAACACAATACATCTGTTTTATAATAAAACATAAATTGCTTACAACAGTTCTATACATTTATCACAGTTCTATACATTCTCGTGTGTTATGCATTTAGCCACAGTGTTACCAATCGAAAAAAAACTGCACTAAAAGTGCATTAAAAGACCATCTCAATTAAAGTAATAACCCCCGATTCACCCATCGAAAACGCCATTAGTATATCCATATTTTATTACGTCTCTCAAAGTAGTACGTTCCAAATATTGTCAAGCGAAATGCTTACTGTCGATTTTTATTTGCTGATCATCAAATACCATTTACGATGCTTTCGTTTTTGGTGGAAGATTTTCATAGTGCGGAACTATCTTCAACAACTTATCTGATACAACCGCATTAAAGTCACTGACCTTCTTGAAATCTTCAGACAATATGTAAATTTTACAATAAATGGAAGAGGTTTGATGTTATCTAATAACGAAAATTTTTTATAACTCAATATTCGTTATTATTCGAAAATATTCGAATTATTCGAATTTTATTCGGATTAAATAAAACAAACGAATCCATTAAAGATTCTTCAGAAAATTGGTTTGAGGATTGAAGTGACCTTTTCGATCGTTTTTTCTCTGAGTATAGTAACTGAAATAAATATACTTTTTATTTACTTTATAAAGTGAAGTATAAAATCTAAAATTTAGTAGTTATTGAATGAATGTGTAATGTTTGTTATACTAAGGAGACGAATTTATTTTTAAAAGTCTTTAGATCAAAAGAATGGGGTCACACACAAATGTCTTCATGTTTATGAATTTCTGGATAGACTTGAATAGATAACAGAATTGTGTAATAAAAAAACTTTAAATTAAGTAATATTATTAAAGAGTTCTGAAGAGTCATAAAAGATTAGCTGAAATGGAAATATAATTATGAATTCATTATAGATTAAACTTTAACTAAACGGTATTTATTTTAAAATATTTTTTAATTTTGTTCTATAAAATTTTCATATTGTTTACGATTATTGGTTTTCGTTTCTACTTGAAGACGACATTAGCACCTGATACATATATATATAGTATATATGTTATATAACAAAGTAATAACAGACCTTTATGACTTTTAAAATAAATATTTATTTAGTTTTATTTAATATTCGTTGTTGGGATGGAAACTTTATCGTCTCAGTTTTTTACGATGTCGAGTAAAGTAAAATTGAATATTGCATATCTAATAAAAATATTATTACAGTTTTGTTGAAGTGTTATATTCACATTATCCACTTTATTGGATTTTTATTGTAAACTTTATTTACGTATAAGTATCTCACAGATAATTAAAACTGCAATAATGAAAATATTTTTAGACTTTATTAGTTCAAGTAATTGATAATAAAAATGAATGTATTATATAGTTTCAATTATTGAGTTTGATGGGAAGTTTCGCTAAACAATGTTACTATGAGGTGCACTAATATTTAATGAATAAACTGAACGAATAGTTAATGATAGTTAATTACTTGATAATATAGCAGAAGTTGTAGAAATAATACTTTAGTTTGTCAGGATGATTCAGAAAGAATTATATACAATATCTCTTGTGTTACGAACTCAGTTCTAACAAGGGTACTATGTCTTATAACATCGATCGGTCACTAAATAGATACAGTAATTACTTGAAAAAAATACTACGTTTAAAACAGGGAAGGGAGCCCTGTTAATAATAAATCTTATATTTGCAAAAAATAGATTCATGCAAACAAAAATACGACATTCGAAACTGGAAGAACTCTGTTTATAATAGATCTTACGCTCGAAAAAAATGGACTCGTGCAAAGAATAAATTATAAGAACAGAATATAAAAAAAATTAACATATGAAATATTGCACTGTATCGTGCTTTAGAAAAAGTGATCACCATTGGCCAAGAAGTAACAAAGAAAGCCTGATGAGAAAACAGATCAAAGAAAATAGATCCTAAAACTAGACATTAAGAATTCATTAATTTTGACCCGCGGGGCAAATATAATATAAGCACTCTGAGTCAGAGGAGTTGTACAGAACAATGCATAAATTTTTTCGAAAATAAATCAAACCTCGAAAATATGTTTATAAAAATTAAGTTCCATCACAACAAAGTGATAAGAGACATTCCTCAGATATTGATACGATAACACAATGCAAAGTATGGTAATGTACACAATATTGACCTTTCTGAAAATTTAAGAATAGTCAAATTTGAGAACGACATTACAGTAGTGGAAGTCACTAAAATGATGTTTTAATATACATTCAAGGGTCATCTAATTATAGTAAGTGAAATCTAATTAAATATTCATAATATAATTATATTTGATCGCAAAGTCCCACAAGAACTAAGTTATTTTGTAAGCAGCACCAATCTGGGCAACTGAAAAACTGATATAACTGGAGATAATAATAACAGTTCATTAATTAAGTACTATAAGATATACCATTAGCATTTCACATAGTGTCGTTCGATGCCATATTTTTTAATTCATGTAAAGCATTTACTGATATCCTAGTTCCAACAAACGTATAGCTGCTCTCTGGATAACAGATTAACAGAATATAAGAACTGAGTGCTAACAATAAGTCAATAGTTAAGCAAAAGGCTTTCGGATAGTTATATTTTTTAACACAAAATATAGAAGGATTAACTATCAATAACTCAAATCGTTGAGTGTATATGGATGTTTCAAGCATTACTTCTTTAAATACAACTGAGATGTGACAAGGACTTCGTTTTTTTTTTGCTTTACATGACTGAAGGATTGAAGGCTTCAAGGTATAAATAATAATATTATATTTTTAGAAGGGCTTGAAGAACTGTAAATATATATTGCCAGATGCAATATATAAGAAAAAAATATAGAGGTGAAAAACAGTTTTTCTTTTTTGACTTTTAACAGTTCTAGGTTAGTTTGAGACTGCTCGGATTAAATCCACAACCCATTTACTTTCTAGACAGCTTGATCTTTGTAAAAAATGGATTAAAGTCCGAATATTGCAGTTTTTAAGCGTTAATAAGTAGACACGAATTTCGTATCTTCAGTAAAATTTATTTGAATAAATAGTTAAACATTATTCCTTTGAACATTTATAATAAAAGTCCTTTTGTTCACTCTTAAAAGACATTTCTAAAATATTTGTTAAAAACGGTTTTTTTCTATAGGGTAGGTGAAAACCAGTGTTTAAAATAAAACCGATATTTAAGTCCAAAGACAAAAAATCTCCAAAAACAGACAACTTTTCAGTAGTATTTTGAAACTTTGATTTTTTTTTGTCAAAAATCGAATTATCTAGAAGAAAGCTGGGTGCCATAGTCTCGAATTAACCTCAAACCGTTAAGAAATCAAAAAACAAAAAGAATTTAGTACCCCTCAGTGTTATTGATTCTTAGAAAAAAATGTATAATATATTGATGATATATTATATATATATATATATATATATATATATATATCATAATATATATAGTGATAATATATCACTGAAAATCGGTCTTATTTTAGGAGACATGATAATATTTATGAAAAAATCTGCAACTCCCGTGAAATCTTTGAATCATGATATATTCTATATTTTAAAACATATAAACATGTTGCTTCAATATCGAAATAAATATCTTAAGCTAGTTCGTGACTCGAAAATAGAATAATAATAATTTCGATATATACATTAAATTTCGATATTTATATAATCGATAATTTTTTTAAAATAATATGCTTCCTCCATTTTTTAGTTACTTAAAAAACGGACCTTCAATATGAAATTTTAGTACATGCATAATTATAATTCAAAATATTATTTATTATGAACTTCATGTCAAATCTTGACCTAATAGCATTTTGTTTATTCCATGCTTTAAATAAAACAAGTTAATAGCTGTACTTATACTATCGGAATAAATGGCTCGATTATTGATTGAGAAAAATTATATTCCACCTCTTCATTTGTCATTGATTCAGAGAACAGAACTCCAATATACAATTTTCAAACATGCGCTATTAAAATTACTAGGTAAGGTACACACGTTCTAACCTATTGGAAAATAAGGTTCTCCTGTATAATGGTGTAGAACGTGTAGAATGTAATGAGCTTATACAAGGAGTATGTATTTTTTAAAAATGTAAATAAAATTATTAAAACATTTTTAATACTTATTTTTGTATTAACTATATAACCAAAACAGAGATTTCACTATTGTCAAATAAATCTTTGCAAATGAAACTTATACTGTCATTATTTTTGCTAATATAATTTTAACTTTTAAAAGTTCACATTTATCACTATTGAGATATAGATTATCCCAGTGAGGTAAATTTAAATGAATATTCCTAAAACTTTTTAAAATTTTGATTTAGTACACTCTTGCATTTATGGATTATATATAAATGTATTTAGTACTTTACCAACATCACAGCCTCTACCCATAGCGTGTATTGGTGTTGGACGTACAATTTGATGAAAATCCATGAAAGTCGACGGAAGCAAGGAGTTCTGAAACACCTTGCCTAAATCTATATCCGCCAGAGGAGAGTTGAATGATTTCAATTGTGCAATCAATTGTTGGCACTTCTGACTCTGCTGTTCACGTATTTGTTGTATAAAATGTTGACTTGCGGTCTGTTGGTAATGTTGTTGGAGCAATTGTTGCTGACGTTGTTCATCCTGTGGTTGCTGTTCTTCTTCCGGTTCCTTTTGTTCTTCCGGTTGCTGTTCCTCTTGCTGTTTATCATTTTGCAATAGGTTTTCGCTAATACGCAGCCGTGGAGGTGATAGCTCAAATTGTTTTGATGGGAAGCGTATTGCGTTGCGACTATTCAATAGACAATTGGGATTTGCACAACAAGTAAATTGATCGCTATTATCACAGCACTCATCACTTTCTTTTTCTTTCTTAATTTTATCTTTATCTAATACTTTATCATTATTTAGTAAACGATCAACACTAAAACTTAAAGCAACTTTTGTTTCACTACTCGAAACCACTGATTTATGATTACTTTCTATTACACTTTGTTGAGACTTCTCCGATTGCTCCATGGGCTCATTATCATTAACGGTTTCTTGCACATTTTTATTCGAATTTTTTTCAATATCAACACCCTGATCATTACTTGTATTTGTTGTGAACGTTTCACTTTTACTTGAATTCTCTTCGGAATTTTGCATAGATATACTCTTAGCCAATTCCTCCATATTGTATTTATTTGTTGCAATCGGCGCTTTAAGTTTGGCTAAAATTCCCATTTTCATGCAATTTATTTTTTTTTTTTTCAACAAAATTATTTATTTTTTTTTTGAATCTTTTATAATTGTATCTCAAAACACTTGGACATTATTGAACTCTTTATTTATGCGTACCCGTCTGCGGGTATATTGAACAAGTAATTCGTAAAGGATATCGAAAAGCATCTGAAGGCACATTTGTTTTCACCGACGCACTGCTCAATTTACGTTCTAACACGTTACGATGTTCTTTTCATTGAAATCACTGAAGAACTGAAAATCATTCCCAACCATTAAGACATCCCACACAAAACTGAACGCACACAGATCGAACGATCGATATGTTGCTTAAGCCGATTCAATGATATCGAAAAATCTCTACGTACCGTTGAACAGATATGAACAGTGGTACGAAACTATGAAATTTGTGCGCAAAATCGATTTTGAAATAATTTTATGTGAAAACAAACATTCAAACAAAGCTATGATATTTAGATATAACGAATTATTTAAGAGTTGAAATTATCTGTTCAAAGCAAACAAATTGTATAAATAGGAGACGTTTTCGTAAGGGTAGAGCAGACTATATACAAGAGATAGCGTTAAATTTATGTCTAAAAAAAACAAATAATAATATTTCGTAATTGAAATGTAAAACAAAGTTTAAAACAAAAAAATTTTTTTATAATAATTCACTCACAGAAATAACAGACCAATTATATATATTTATATAATTTCTTAGCTGTAAGCGAGTAAAACAACCGACCAAAATAACTATAAAAGTTGATTAATTGAATGATTTAGAGAAGTTTCATATTTAAAATTTAATTTTCTTCAAGGACTTGAAAATGCAGAAGTTACAATATTCTTGCAAAAAACTGTAATCAATTTGTATATCATCCAACTATAGCTGCCACTCCTACATCGAACTCCTATAAAAACATACTTAAATTCTCAAAAGGTAATTTCAAATTGATATCAAGTTTCATTACGGGACATTATGGTCTGAAATATCACCTTACGATTATCTGCTAATACTGAATGCAGATTATGTCTCGAAGATGAGGAAACAACTATATATATTCTTTGAGACTGTTCAGCTTTACAAACTCACAGAAGTAACTTATTTCATTTGGAATTTTTGTCACCAGAACAGATAAAGAGCGCTTTCTTAGATTTAGTTCTGAACTTTTTTTACCAAGCTTTTAAGGGCTGTGTGTAATCAATAGTGAAATTGACACAATAGGACTTCACATCAAAAATTTTAATAATAATAATTTTTGATTAACATATAAAAACATTAGAGGTTTTTAAATTATATTACCACTGAGTATTAACATAAAGACCATATATTGAACCAAAGTTTCTAATGACATGACTTATTCGATTGGTTCATTCTGCATCTGGATTTAATCTAAATTTATTCTAAATCAATCAAATTTTATTGACCAATCGAACATTTTTAGAATAATTTAAAATTTTTATAATTCTGTTAGAAAATACCTATATACTTCATAATTAATTAATTAATATTAATATTAAAATAATAATATTATCAGTAACTAGATTAGTCTCTAAAAGGTTAATAACAAATTTGTTAAGACAGAATAAAACACATAGACCACTTCTTTGAAAAACGGGACAAATTTATACAAACATTACATTTTGGCAAAACTTTTTTTATGAATTACTCTAATGAGGAGAAACAAAATTTAGTTAGGAACAAAAATTTTCTGAACATTATTATTTTAGAAGTATTTTAAAAAAAATATTTCAATCTCACATTAAATGCATGTCATTCAACTTTTAAAATAAAACATTACAACTCGACATAACCTGGTACCAAATTGCTAACACTAACTAATATTTTTAAGGCTAGCAAATATCTATGTATAGGTGAGGCGAATATTTTACCCACTTGTAGGAAATATTTTTAAGTAGCTGTTAAAAAACATAGTGGATTGATATGAACAATAGAAAGAACACTACAGGGTAACACATTACTAAATCAAGAAAAATCTAAAGTTGTTGATGTTCACATCAAGGCTATTAATAAACTTGACAACGTCAGCGACAAACCAACTAATGATATCGACGACAATAGCTTTATAGGACTTCTCTATTCCCTAGTGTTAAAAAAAACAGTTAAGTAATCTGCATTATACCATAAATATATTTTTTAATATTTGTAATATATAATAAATAATTAAATATTAATAAATAAAGTATACGTTTACTTTATTAATAACTGATTACTTGAGATATCCTTAGATTTTAATTCTTAAATTAAATAAATATCACTTCAGTTAGTTAGTACATAGTACATAATATAGTATAAGAATTTTGTATACCATATATTAAAAGCCCATTTACAGTGTGCAGCTCCTAACATATTGTACCGAAAAGTAATAAATATATATTGTTTTCGCAGCAATTTACAAGAAATCTATAAGAACCGATATTCTGTTTACAAATAAATTTTTCGGAATATTAAATATTGAAACAAATTCTACTCTTTATTTTATAATACTAATTTTTAATACTGGAATGTAAAGGGCAGAAGTGAATGCCACAAAATAGGAGTGAAGCGAATACACAGCCTAGCCTTCTCAACAGCCAACCTCACCTACACGTGGTGCATCTTGTTCTAATATACGTGGCTCTAGTGACCGAACACAAACGGTATAACTTGAAAACATCTAGCAGAGACGAAACTCTCTAGCTATCAAACACCAATTTTATTCCAAGATTTGCAGGGGATCTGGTTCTCCAGGTTTGAGGGTTGTTCGCAAGGTCAGCAGCCTCGCATCGAAAAAAAACACTCGCTATGTAACCTTCTAAAAACGAGGCAAAGGTTCACACTAGACTGTAGAAGAAGAATAATTTTTAATACTATATTTTTGATTTTATTTTCTTTCCAATCTAAATGCGAGAGGTAGATTAAACTATTAGATACAAATCAGAGGTGCTTGGTTCTAAAGTACTAGAGATAGTTTAGAATGCTTGTATAAAAATATTTCTGACAAGAAAAAGTAGATACATTATTTAAAAAAATAAGATTCGTTGTGTTTTTTTTTTAATACATGTATGTATTACTAATTTGTAAGTGTTATTAATATTATTTTATATTTAGTAATTAAAAATTGTGCGATTAGGACCGTGTGCGAGTTCGAGTAAATTGAGATAAAGTAAATTGAAATTTCCTAGAGATTTTTTGCACTGTACTTATGTACTTATGTACACTTATGTAAATATTTATTTATTTATTGCACTTTTTTTATTATTTTTAGTTAAAAGTTTGCAAATTTAATTATTTATTTATTAAACATCTTATGAAATTTTCACAATGGTAACACATAATTTACCTAATTTTTATTTAATTTACTGTACTCGACATTCTGGTAAATACCAACATTCGCTGCCATACCGACTTAAATTATTATTTCCCTGAATTTACCATTAATTTACTCGAACTCGCACACGGCCTAAAAAGGATTTTATATAATGAAATCATATATAAAAAATCATATTTTGCTCCACTGTGCAAACATTCGGCGTTGCAACAATTTCAAATAAAATGTTAACACTTCGTGTGTAGTGTCATATGTAGCAGGTTTCTTTTTATTCTCCTTTCTCGTTCAGTGTTTGTTTTTGTAATGAGCAATTTTCATGCGTATTTTGTTTTTGTTCGCTCAATCTTTTCACCCACACAATAAACGATATCTTGTAGATGTATTGATCGATGACCAATCGCAAATCAATAATCTATTTGTAGGAGGAGCATTAATGATCAGTGCGTCATTCCAATAGATTGCGTACTTTTCCACATAATTGATCCTTACTTAATTTTTATTGGTTGAATTTTTATAATAAATTAGTTGGAAATAATTAGACCATCTTCCCTACATATTACGGGCTATTATAAGATCCATATATATGTAATTTATTAAGTTTTAATTCGATGCGATCATGGCATTATATTAAACAATTAAATAAATTCATCAGTTTAAATTAAATTGAAATTATATTTATTTTTTGATAATTATGTATGGATATTACTTTTTGAAATTAATATAAAAAGAATAAGTATTTATTAAGTTTTTCTATTATAACACCTATCAAAAAAAAAAGATACAGATACTTCAATTAAATATTAGTTAAAACAATATCAAATTAACATTTTCCCGATAAGAAAGTGCAGCGCTCCCATAAAACTATTTTAATTGCTTCACTACTTAAAGCAGTAAATTGTGAATATTTGAAGAAAACCATATGTCTCTTCTTGCAATACATATGTACAAATCTGTTATCAGCAGCTGTTTTATACGTAACACTGCATTTCTGTTTAATATGATATATCATCATCACATTTTTTTTCAAACTAATCAAAATGGCAAAAACATATGTGTCTCATGTCGAAACATCACTATTGATTATTTGATTTGTTTATAATCTGGTTAAAAGCAATCTAACATTGATAAATATGAAAACGAACTACTTCAATAAGCAGACAGCAAGTACATTCAGCTTACCATAATTGCACCCCCCTCATAAACCCCAGATTCTTTAGCAATACCAGTAAAAGGTGCAGTTAAGATGATTGCACCCTTAATTCGAGTTTAATTGCCAATATTTCTTATTACAGGATTACTTGTTTAAGTATATTCAGCCTACCGTAAATGAACACCCATCATAAGCCCCAGATTCTTTAGTAATATCATAAAAATGTGCAGTTAATATGATTGCTCCGAGTTTAATTGCCAGTGTTTTTTATTAAAAGATCACTTGTTTAAGTACATTCAACTTACTAGGGCGCTAGAAACTACCAACTAGAGACAGCAAGTCACGGATCAGGCTGACTGGCGGAGACTACACGACGCGGCTAAGGACGACTCACGTCTTTAATAACCAACTCAGTGAGTAAGTACGAGTATTGCAGGTGTTATTTTGTTATCATATTTTCTAGTTTCTAATACACAGACATGTTTTGTTCTTAATATGTCTTTATTCCTCGTATATTCTATACTTACCTATACCTTGAATGTGGTATGAATAAAGAGTATTCAACTATTCATATTCTGAGCGTACGATAGTGAACTACCGCGCTAAGTTCACTTTCAGATTTCTATTCTACGATTTCCACTCCATTCTCTCAGCTGTTCGAAATTTCTCTTCTTCCCTCTAGCTATTCTTTTCTGAGATAAAAAAAAAATTATTTTAATTTATAATATACCTTCATAAACATTTTCATCTGGAATCGTGTTTTACTTTAATACAAGCAATTAAC